CCGTACAAATTGATACGTGAATGCAGTGTTGAATCAATCGATCAAAACATTCATTGAATAAGAATGACTGCAATTCTTCTTCAATTTCGACTTTTGTTTGCTTTTCAATACATTTGGAAAGGCTTTGAGTTAAAAGCATGGAATACTGCTCTTGATTGTCATCAAAGTCTGTGTGAATGATAACATCAATGTCAAAATTAATAAGATTATAGCAAATATAATAATCACTTACAATAAGAATTGGCTTTAATTTCTTCGACTAAATGAGCGGTTATTGACTTAAAACAATTCAATTCACTCGACGCGACTTCCATTGCATTTAAAGTGCAAACAATGCGCTTTTGATTCACTTCTGTTGTGTAATCTGGATCTAAAAACAATATTTCTGTTATTTTACTCAAGTATTAAATTAAAGTTAATAATAATTACCAAATTTATCGATCAATGATTGAATTAATTCTTGGATTAATTTTGGATTCAATTTAGTGATGCATTCAATCAGTAAATATGTTTTTGACCTGAAATTCAAAAATTTTATCAAACAATTTCACTAAATTTATAGTGATGTAAATTTCACTCACAATAATTGTTGTCCATTTAAACAATTATCAAGCAATGAATGCAACACTTTTGTAATGATTTCCCACTTATTCTCATTCATTTCCTTCAATTGAATCAATTGTTGAAGACATGAGACAACACTTTCCCTAATATTATCAGTCTCTGTGTCGGCCACTGATAAAGATGTCATAAGTGTGAACAAAGACTCGAAGTTAATTAAATTGATCTGTTTTTGAGATATATTTCGCGAATGGCTTAAGATTCTAGAAATTGATTCAATAATAACAACACGAGTTGACTCTTTTTGACAGAAAGTGAATTGTTTGAGTAAAATAGGCATCAATTGTGTAATCATTTGATTGAATGCATAAGCATTTGATGAAATTGTTGCCAACATTATACTAACTCCGGAGTCAACTAAATCCAGTTCTGGTTTATTAAATGCATTGGAAATATCGGTCCAAATTTGTTTTGTAAACGAATCAAACATCAGTTCGTTTTCAATCATTGCATCGCTTATTGAAATCAAAGCCTTTAAGGCGTGCTCTGAGATCTCAGTCTCCAATAGTTTAGGCTTAAGAACATCGACTCTAATGGCTGTCCAGAGTTGAGGAATAAATTGGTTGATTCTTTCGTAACCATAATTACGAGAAACGCCTTCAATAACTTTATATGAATCTATTTTGGCTGTTATCAGCTCTGACTCTAATTTTTCCAAAACCAATGGAAATAAAAACGGAGCAAATTGTGGACACGCTGTGAAACACCGGTGCAGTTCACCGGACAGGTCTTCCTTTGTTATGCCGTATTCATCGTCAGGAGTCTATCAATACAAGTAATGGTTTATTATTTACTTATATTGCTGTATATATTGTAAGTCTATTTCAGTAAATATTTTCTTACAGGAGTGAAGAGAATTGGAAAATAGCATGAAATCACTTCAAAAACATCCTCAGTGTATGGATCTATTGAAAGAACACAATGTAATCAAATTGTTGTACACTTTTCCAATCAATACCTAAATCTAATGATTCAATAACTGAATGCATGAGTCGAAAGACCACGAGAAGACATCGAGGGTCGCGTTCGCCCTCAACCAACTGCAGTAATCCGTATAGAAATTCGGGTCGATTTGCCTTCAATTCTGTGTTTCGCAAAACAATTCATTTATCTTAAGTCATAAAATTGTTGAGAAAAAATCATTCAAACCTTCAGAATATTTCTGAAACATTTTAGTCAATAACTGGAAGACTAGGAATCGGTCGGAAACCGGGTATTGTTGGACAGATGTCTCTTTGACTAAACCACTGAATACAGTTTGACTCATACTTTTGTCGAAATTCAAACAACCCATCTGTCAATCAATTGTCAAAATAATTAAATTTATATAATTTTCAGATAAAACAATACAAACAATGGATAAAAGCCCGGAAAAGACGTGCGAAATAAGAGAGTAATGATCGCGGAGTCGATCGCAATAAAAACGTGTCAAATGTTGGACTAATGTATAAAATCAATAAAATTGGATTAAATTTGTTGTTAAAACTGAGTTATTAATGAAAACCTTCACTGATTGACAAGAAATCGTTTGGCAATGAAATGACAATTTGTGTCAAAATATTCAGTCCTTTTGAGCGTTCATTGGTTTCAGTGTTTATGAGAAGTGGTCTGAAATTGATTTATGATATTAATATTGGCCTCAATTTGCGATACAATTACCCCAAATCAGTGACCACTCTCTCAATCGACAACTCTTTTGTTTGGATCCCTTTGAAGACAAGACAAACAAATGGATTAAAAACTCATCTAAAAAGTCAATCAATGGATTCATACGATTGCAAACGTTTTGGACATCCATTTGATTGATTTGCGGACTCTTCTCAACCATGTGTTGAACCCAATCACTCATATTATCCATAGTTGTGTGCAAAAGGTGTCATTTATTTGATGCCACAATTGAAAGAATCAGTCAATGCTTTGTTTGTTAATTGCAATCAAAAGTTGTAAACAAAACATTCACACAATTTAATGGATGTTTTTGTCAACACTTTGTGCACAGCTTTCATACAAATCACGTGCTCTCGGCTTACAGTCAAATCTGGTTAACAATTATTTGTGTTTTAATTAATATAATTAAATTAATACATATTTTAATTAAATTTAATTATATAATTAAATTACAATTAAATAATTGAGAGATATGTGGTATATGTTGTATATAAAACTATGAATGCATATACAATACAGTCACTGCTATATTGTAATAGTAAACGAGATTTGACTGTAAATAATGCAATGTGTGATCAAAACAGAGAAATGATTTTCAATTATAAACACAACTAATTGTTTGAATGAATGAATGGTTTAATTGAATTGCAATTCAATTACTATTGAAATGTTTCGTTTGCTTTCATCACTTCCGTCGCGATTAAGCCGTAAGTATTGGTCATTAAAATGCAATTCATTTGTTGTGTTGACTTTTATATTCGTTTGCATTTGTCGTATAAGAAATGAGTGGCAAAAGTGGATCAGATATGGCGACAATCGGTGGCCAAACGCTCATCAGTCGTAATGTGGAGACCAATGACATGATGTGCAAGAGGTCTGTCATATACTACAGTCACTCAAAGGGTCGCTTCAAAGACAACAGAGCGGTTGTCAATCGGTTTTATCGCCTCAATTGGGGCGCTTGGATCAGACCCCGAGCCGGAAGACACAAACACTTGTGGTCCAAACCATATCACATCAAATGGTGGGCAAAACAGCACGTGTTTTGTACGGACGAGCAGAACAAAGTGTTGGATCAGATGGTGGGCGCCTACTATAAGAGGCCCACGTATTTCGTCGACGATCCCTACGAACCCTATCAGAAGAGACACGACTTTGCTTTCGTACCGCTCGGCAAAGACTCAGTCACTACTAGTTATATAAATACTTTATATGAATATAAATCTAATAAATAGTCGTTAAATAGTTATCCGGTATTTCATATGACATTTGTTTTGCTAAATGTGAACACATTACTAGACTATGGTATATGAGTTGTAATAATGATTACGGTATTTGATGTCAATTTGATTGAACAATAAATTTGTTTAGTAATTGTTATTTAATGATAAATAGAGTATAATTTAAGTTACGGTATGTATAGAATACAGTATTCAATAATATTAAGAGTATATAAACAAAAATAATCAAAAACTTCAGTATTGGTCACAATAGAAATACTTCGGGTTTTGCTGTTATATATAAAATGGCTTAAAAATATTGTTTTATTTGATAGTTATATGGGTTTTACAATTATGATTACAAACCTAAACTTATTTCTAGCATATGTTCATTCAATTCATCATAAAATAAGCGAAATTTAATAAATAAAATCAATGAAAATGAATAACGAGAAGGGATTGAAAAGAGTGAAACCATTTGAGCAAAAGGTTTAACAAATTAGCAAACATTAACTTAACATTCAGTACAAACTCTAGAGTTTATATCACAATATGAATACATTGATGAAAACCAATGATTAGTAATGACTAAATGAGATGACATTATATATATTGTCGGACATCGAAAGCGGATCTGAATTGAATGAAAGACGACATTCATATAAAATCATAAATACACTAAAAAATATTAATTAAGCCTTATTTCAGCCATTGGTCCGAAGGGTTATAGTATTATATAAATAATAAATAAAATCAAGTCATGTCTTGTTTTGTGTTATTTCGGGAATCGTTTCGACGGTTTTTGCCCGAAAAGCAAAGACAGCCGCTATTGAGTCGATGTCTTTTCAAGCCCTTAGGCTTTTCCTGCCACTGCCTCTCACGCACACAGCGCTCAAAGAAATCAAATTCCTTGAGATACCAAACCGGTGGCCATCGGTTCCGATTCAGATACGCCTGGTTTTCGGGGTGAAGATTACGCAACAGTTTTGTATTTTTGTGACAAATCTCGTTGTAATGGATGGCTATTTGGTGGAGACAGTACTCAGACAACTGGTCCGCGTTGTGTATCTGCGAGGGCTCTAACAGTCTGAGCACCGATTCTGTGATATCATTCCCGTTGTCACACATTCGCGTCAATTCGCTTATGACGTGACTCTCAATTAATGCTACCAAACGTGACAAACATAACCTATTGGCCAATTCAAGCACTGGTAAGCAATTGGAATGAGTTATAGTCGCGTCCAAACCATCGGTGTATATATAGTACAACATTTGCCGAAATGTCTCCTTATTAACGCCCGGGAATGGGATCTCAAAAAAGACAATCCAATTAATCATTAGTCAAATTCACTTTTATTCAATCAAATACTTACCACTTTGGCTGAACTTTCTCTAAAGTCTCCCCTAAACATCGCGTCCATTACATCACATCTACACATAAGTATAGCTTTGTGTCCACAACACGTTCCGTCGTCTAACTTAAACACAACATCTGTTCAAATAAATACAAGTTTTAATAATGAGTAGAGAGAGAGAGAGAGAGAGAGAGAGAGAGAGACCTGCAAACAATCCGTCGTCCAAACATATAATCTTAAGATTTCTCTTAAATTTGTGATTGAAATCATTGAGAAATGATTGATTGAAGTAAACGTCTGACTCTTTGAGTTCGTCTAAGTTTCTGAGAACTATTTGCAACTCTTGAAGCCCTAAGAGCTCTGCGATGTCATAGAGTTCTGAGACTGGGGTCTCGTTCTCGAGATTAAGTTTTGCTGAATATATGAAACGAACATAACTTTGAAGAGCACCCAAAGTGATGGCATTAGTCATTGAGACAACTGTTTGGACGTTTGGCGCGAGTCTTCCGCTGTAGTCGATAACACTCTCTCCGAGCTCTACACTAATCGATTGGAACAGCGGATGATTTAGACTCTTATGGACACCAGTTCTGAATGAATTCAGATCTGTTTGATTGTGAAAATTGGACCTCTTTTTCATGGCATTCGAATGAGTGGCCGGAGAGTCGCTTCCAGAGGGCGACGATGAGCCCTGAGTGCATCGGAACATATATAGCTTATTCGTGTGACCGCTGTCCACCACACCCGCGGGTGAAGTGCTCAGCAACTGTTCCGTATCGGTGTTGAAGTTACCGACTGAAGCGTCAGTAGAGCTCGTAATACTCGAGTCACTGGCACTTCGGCCCCAATAACCAATACCATTGTTATATTCGGTTCCAGCGGTGATATCCATTGTTAACAGTTTATAGAATTCTTTCGAAGCCGCAGATAATACAACCTTATGGGCACAGATACCAGACTTTCCGATCGACAGAATCAGATCGGTATAGGCCTGGTATTGAAGTAGTGATGACAAGTGTTGCTCAAATTGTGACACCGGAAGTGTAGCTTTAGGCGCGAGTGGTTGGGGCGGACAGAATGGCTCTTGAAGTAGCGACCGCTGGACGTGCTTCAAGTTTGTCATCCAAAACCTCTGCTGTCTTCTGGCAATCAAAGCCATTCTAATGACATTTTCAAACACTTCATTGACGCCGAAATGTGTGAAAACACTCGTCTCATAATAGGGACAGTCTATGTCTTTCGCAACAAGTCTTCCCTGTTCTGGAGTCAGAATATCAGTCTCTTTAAGAGGTCTAAAACGAGTAATAAATTGGTTTTAATTATTTATCAAAAATAATTATATTAAGCATAAGAGGCTAAGGATCCTAAGGTATGTGCGATACTTATATCCACTTATATTGTATTGAAACGAAAGCATATTTTAAGTTTCATTATATATTCAAATTGGTTCACATTTAACTGATTAATAGGTGCGGTAAACGTATAGCATAACGATCACCGATCAGTGATTCACCTCAATGTTTATTAGTAATGGTAACCTATAATCTCTATTTCGGTGGCGTTTCAATGAACCAATTTTATAAAGTATTCAAAGTGTTGCAAATTAACGTACTTTAAATTACAATTAAAATTCAATTAAATAAATTCTAATGCAATACTGACAGTGAATTAGCGATTAATTTAAAAATGAGAGCACAATTAGTTAATCTCACGAATGCTCAGTACCTTCCGATCTCAGGAAATCTGCTGCAAAGATGGTTTGCCCTAAAATGATAACTTCGATTAACATAATTGTTTCACATGTACTGACTGTACGTTCAATCAAATCAAATGGAAATTTCACAAAATCAAAGGTCATTCGGGAATCAAATTCAATTCATTATTGGATTGAATGCCGGTTTCAAACATAATTTGCCATAAATTAGTTCAAATAAAAAACAATTGCAAAAAATTGATACAAAAAAGCAATAATAGATTTGCTTTCGATTAAGCGATTGATAAATTACCTGAAGAATGGACTCCTTTCACGACATAATGTGAGAAATTTTTCGTCTCTATACATATATCGTAAATCGTTTTTACATCCGACCAGAACTATAGGCGTATTCGGACAGAAACGCCGGATTTCCGGATACCAAATCACTTTACAATTACGTAATGATATTGGATTTGCAACTGAGAAACACAACAACACCACATCCGATCTGTCAGTTCATCCCAAGTCATTACTGATTTGTTTTATACGTATAATCAAAGTTAACAATCGATATCATACCTGCCGTAAGCAAACCGTCTATCTTTGTCGTGATCTCCAAATGTGTCCCACAGTCTGAGTGAGACATTTACGCCGTCCACCACTTCCCACGATCTTTGCAATACCTGTCATATAATGGATATATTTATTAATAAAAATAGGTTACAGTATTATATTTCATACATTCATCACTTGTTGACAAATTCAATAAATAATATTGATTTAAACATTACTTTCAAAGAATTTTATAATACATTTATTGAATGACAAAAGAAAATTAATATTTTTATTTATTACGGTAAATTCAAAATTTTTCTATTAAATGTCATCAATTGAGACAATAATTGTTTAAATATCTCATTATATAGATTCTATATTATAGAATATCAAAGTACTTGCATTTTTATTTGAAAGTCTGGTCATTATTAATAATTTCAATTTATATACAGTATTATAATATATTTGGTATGTAGACACTTTTTCGAAAGACATTTTTTCGAAAGACATTTTTTCGAAATCATATTTTCGAAAGACATTTTTTCGAAAGACACTTTTTCGAAAAAATTAATTAAAATTTACTTTAAACTCAT